CATATAAAATGTTGCAGTAACTACTGTGCAGTACATGTACGTATGTTGTTAAATGACGTAGGTTTAAGAGTTAAGAACATTGCAAGAGTGCGGGAAGGGTTTGTAAAGCCTTAAAATGTATATAAATACAAAAAAATATAACGTTCCTACTTCGGTTTTTCACTTATTGAAGGGGGGTCCAGAACGTAAACCCCGCGATAAATGAGCGACTACTGTAAATGTGTAAAGAAATGTGCAAAATAAGGCCTTACTGTCGTCTTTATCTGGATTCTGCTTGAGATCTGGACTCGACTTGATCCACTCGGAGTCCTTGTCGTCTTTTAACCTCTCCCGCTCCTTGTCCTTGTGCTTTTTAGACTTCTTCTTTCTGTGCTGGTTGTTGGTGAGGGGCTGCTGAGCGCAGTCTGAATCACATGGAGGCGGCTGGAGGCCGTTTGTTTTAGAATCCGGCTCCTTGCTCTCAGAAACAAGTTCGTCAGAGGGGCTGTGCAGTTCATGCATTAACAGAAAGCTGCCGTGGCTTCCAGTGAGGCCGCACTGGTTATCAGTATGGTCACGTGTCCTTTGAGGTTCAGAGTTTGAGTTGAAACTGGGGTTTTGTATCAGCGTTGTGTTACTTTGTACTTCTTTGTTGTTTACGAGTCCTTTGTCCACAGACTGACGTTGTGACCTCTGGTCTGTAAGTTTTTGTCTCTTGATGGCGAGTCTCTCCTGCGAGTCGAAAGGCACGGGGCGTTTCTGGAACACAAAGGAGCCAAAAACACAGAAACGATTACCACCAAAATATTTTCATGTGACCAATTCAGTTATACATTTTTAATCTTTTTTTTTAACATCAGTTCACTTCATTTGACCTCAGATGGAGGTGAGATTTACCAAAGTGTTATAATTTACTCGTACATTTCCCACCAGAACATTTTGACAAACAAAACTGCAACTTACCACGTAAATATTTTTTGTGACACTTTGATCTTCTGAGATCTTTGTAGCTGAAAAATGTGCTTCAGGATTTCTTGGTTGATTGCTGATTTGTGGCTGCAGCTTTCTGTTAAACAATGACAGAACAATTCAACTAAGGCAGCATATCACCCACTGCCTTGAACTTCTGTTAGTGCGAGTGCTGGGGAAGACTCTCGGCTACTACCACACAAAGATTAAGCTCAGTGTCTGTAAAGTTTGAGCCATTTTTGTGTTCGTTAATGTTAACTAGCTGTGGTGGCCATCTTTAATCAGACTGATTCCAAACCTTAATGGGTTGTAGACGTACACCTAAGAGATTACTTTCTGAACGACTAATTAAAATCTGTCTAGTACTGCATCAGATATTTTGCTACCAGACAGAGAAACGGACACGCACCAACAGACTATACGACTGCTCAGCTTTCATGTTGGCGAGCAATGATAATGAGAGAAAAGCAATGCCCAAAGGATTCTTATTAATATTTAAGTTTCTTTTTCTAAGGTCTAGTGGATTTATACAAAAAGACCAGTAAAGTTGGACAGTAAAACATCAGGTCGAGACCAAACAGAACTGTGGGAATGAAAATAAAAAGTGAGGGTGAGAAGGAAAAAAAAAAAGAATAAAAACGTCAGCCTGAAGCTCAAAGAATTGAAAAATTACTTCCCACGACCAATAACTCATTTGACAGTTAAATTGCCTCGGTCTTTAAAGAATAATCAACAACAGAACAAGGAGAAGAAACCTCCTTAAAGCAAAAAGTATCTGTTGAGCAGATTTAGTAGCTGTGTTGGTGTGAGTCACCTGGCCAGCAGCTTGCTGATCAGCTGCTTGTCCTCCTCACTGTAGCCCGGCCAGTCCCTCTGCACCTCCTTGAACAGGTCGTCCTTCAGCGAGAAGCTGCTGTCTTTGGGGTTCAGTTTGGCTACCTGAAAAATCACAACACAGTGTTGAATAAAGGACCGGTGAGTGTGAGGCTGTGACAGTGATGAAGTTGTGAACAGCAACAATAAAACAAAAACTTGCAATACATGCAAAGTCTTAATGTACAGTAGTCCCTCGCTACTTCGCGGTTCGACTTTCGTGGACTCGCTCTTTCGGTTTTTCAAAGTAAGAGTGGACATGACACACAATGGCTGATTGATGGACGAGCCGCACGAGTGGAATGGATTGTTTATTTAAAATTAATTATTTTAAATTATTTAGCACCTGCTAAATCATTAGATGCAGGGAGAAACTCCCTCTGTCATGATCTCCGCTCTCTGCCACGCACACATTTCTCCTCCATGCTGAAGCAGCTTCGTTAAGGGTTAACCCTTTGCTGTCCAGCTGCACCGATCGTCTTCCAACTTAAAATTCAAAGAATGTCACATCGTAAAATCGTTACAATCACAAAATATAAAAGTGTTAAAAGTTATTTTTAATTATTTTAGAACATCTATGTTCAGTTGTTTCAGTGTAATTGATCAAGAAGTAAATTTCTGCAACGTGCTGCTGCTGCGTGAAGGGTTAACCCTTTGCCGTCCTGCTGCGCTTCTCTTCTCTACGATTTAAATTTAAATACTGCAATATTTTAAATAAACAAAAATATTACAGTATTTAAATATGAATTGTTTATTTACACAGACTGAGGGAGATTGGGAGGTGATGAGTGCGACTGCAGCGGAGATCATGACATTCTGTGCTCTTTTAGAGCATTTCGAGTTTAGAAACATTTTTATATTGCAAGAGTGTGAGCAGGGTTTATAAAGCCTTAATATATATAAATACTAAAATAAACTACTACTTATTACTACTACTATTTGTACTACTATCCCTATTTCGTGGTTTTTCTACTTATCACAGGGGGGCGTGGTCTCAAACCCCCGCGATAAACGAGGAACTACTGCAAACGTATCGTCCTTCAGCAGCTAAAGGCTTCAAAATGTTCACCAGATTGTCACTGCACAAAGATGGACAAAAAGGATGCAGTTAGGCTTTTATTTTCCTGAGAGCAGCTGTTTGCTCTTAGAAAGTACGTTTGCACAAAACCATGAAGTGATTTGTGTCAACGTCTTTTGTCTCTACCAGACAACAACAAAACATTTGGTGATTTATGATCATGTGAAAATAAAACGAGCTCCCAGTCGAGTCTAAAACATGCTGAAAGTGGCACATCTCTGTGCCTAGAAAGCATATTTTCTCCCTGCGCCTTATTTTCCTCCAGAGAATATCAGGTTTAGGGTTAGCTTTATTCTGTGACTCCAGTCTTTAATCTGAAAACTTTTCCCCAAGGAGATCCATCCCTCTGCTGCCTCCTGACAGGTCGGCCCGCACAACAGCAAACATGATCTCTGAAAATACGATTACAGCAGCGACCTAATTAGGTCTGTGCGCTCACTCTCACACGCACGCATGCTTGTTTTGCTATCTTTATGGGGACTTTGCATCGACTTCCATTCATTTTTCATTCATTTCTATAGCCTAACAGTGACCTTTACCCTAAACCTAACACATTCTCAATTCACACCTTAGTCATAAACATAACCCCAACCCACCAACGGCACTTCTTCTTATGGGACCCGGGCTTTGGGCCCCATAAGGAGCAGTTGGTCCTCACAGTGTAGTAGTATAAGTAGGAAAAATTGGCCTTACAAGGTTACAAACACACACACATGTACGCATATAGACGTTTTTACTACCAAGTAGGGACCAATGACATACTCAAGCCTTATGGGATCCAACATTTCTGAAATGTTAAAAAATTTTATTTTAATTGCTAAATTCATAGAAACTAATTATTAAACCGTGGGTTGAAATATTTAAAACACTCCTATTGATTTATTTGACAACATTTTGCCTCCTCCTGGGTACCACTCATCTCTGCAATAACACCTTAGCCAATAAAAAAACAACTTAAAAAATAAGTTTAAATTATATATGTTTATATAATTTTATTATTTAATTTTTTTTTTTTTTTAATTTTTTAATTTTTATTTTTTTAAGTAAGCCGTTTCACACACGCACACATTACTGAGCAGACGTTTGGAAAAATACACACACAGAGAATTATTACTTACGGTAATTGTTATTAACTAAAAATAAGAGGGGGGAGAGTCACAGAAATGAAACTTTTCTGACAAGGATGGCTCTGGTAATCATTCACCACCTAAAGCCAAATGGTGGGCGACAACGTGTCTTGTTCAGAAGACTAGATGTGCCTAAAACACAAAAACTGCTGGGATTCAGTCAGTTTCACAGATTTTGAGGTAAAATTTGGTGTGGCTGTAGCGGAGTCAATCACAACCCATTCTCTAAGTGCTACTTGTTAAGCAAGATTTGTGATTAAAACTTTAGCATCTTCAGGTGAAGATTCTCATCTATGCAAGTCATGATCAATCCAAAAAACAAAAACAAGTGGACATTACTCAGAAGATGAAGATGTTTCAACTCCCAAATAGATGAAGGTGATTTTGTTGTCTATACGTTATATATTATCTGTCTAAAACAGGTCTCTCTTGTAAATGAGTCCTCATGACTCAGTGAGACTAACCTGTATAAATAGTTCAAGTTCAAGGTTCTTCATCGTCGTTCGCATCACATGTGGTACATGAGGTGGAGCAAAATTGTGTACCCAAGGTCCCAGTTACACACCAAATAGCAAAAATATAAAGTATAAAAAGAAACAATATAAGGTTCTAAGATACTAAGATATACGCTAAACGAATGCTAAACGATCTAAGATATACGTTAAACATTAATATATTGTATTATTTTACATTATTAAACAGCAGCCGGACATGAGTCTGTAGTGAGTGTAATAAAGGTTGAATGAATGAATTTGGAGTGGAGCTGACTAGAAATCAGGTCCATCAAGGAGGTCTCAGATTTCCACCTTGTGCAGCATTAGGCCTGATTCCCAGTCAGCTCCACTCCAATTCACACCTTCACGCAGGTGACCAAACAGCTCTCGTGAACCAGGTAGACAAAGAGCCTCCATTGTGCGGGTTAGGGTTAGCCACTTTGCCATTGATAAGTGCGACTCCACTCGGCTCTTGTCTGATCAGTTCTTCGGTGTAGTGATTTACAACTGTGACTCGTTTCCCGCTCTGTAGGTGGGATCGTCAACACAAAGTGGGTGGTATCATCACAGGTCATTGTGTTCAAGCCACTCCGCCCATTGTGGTCCTTAATCGCCCTATAATCTTACTTAAATTTCTTTAGTTTATCCCAACACTTCTTATAAGTCCGGGTGAAACCATCATCTCTGATATCTCTTGTAAATTCACTCATTTCTTGTGACATGATGAAGAAGTGGAGGTTCAGATGTAGATGTAGGTTTGCTGGGAGGGTCATTCAGTGATGTAGCTCCACTGGTCAATCAACAGCTGTTGTCTGCTTACGTCAAAATCATCGCTTGGAACCTCAAACAAGGTGGTCCTATAGACTGGGCTGAGTGGGGGTGGGTGCCGGCAGTGAGGAGGCCCTTAACTGGTGCGGTGTGGCGCAGAATCGATGAGTTGAGACTGTGGCAAAGCGTCACAAGCACACAACCAGGCCTCTCATGCAGTTCTATAAAGCTGGCAGCTCCATGCGCTCCACACATTTTTGAGTTGATAAAACCTCCTGGCTGGGAAGTGAAACATATTCAGCTTCAGAATAGAAGTCCAGTTGTTTTTGTTTTATAACATTTTTTGGATTTAGCATCTACGTCCAAAACTGGCATGAAAGACAGCGGGTGATAATTGTTGGACAGACTGTTCCCTCAGTAAAGCACATTTTCTATAAACATACTTTTTATTTGGTTTGGTATTTGTAATGGAAAGTGTAAACACTGCTATGAGCTGTTACATATGACAGCTGTTTAAAAAATACATTTGGGGAGGTTTCAGTGGGGTTAGATGCATTTTACAAAGTGTTAATGGTTGGAACGCTGTTCGTTTGCCTTTTTGTTCAATTAGCGGGGTTTTATCAGAAAACACAAACTACACCACCTGGTTAGTGTGGATGGAAACATGTTCTCATGTGTGAGAAGGGTGCAGATGTCAAAAATATAAGTGCATGCAAATGACAATATTCATAGTCTGTTGCTTTGTTTTAATGTGACAAGTGTAAAAGCACAAGCTGTGCAAAATTATGTGTCCAAACATATTAAGAGTAAAATTACAGGAAATGCTTTTACCTCCTCCAGTACGGCGTTCAGCTCGGCCTTGTCCTTGGCTCCGGCTCGTTCTCTCTCCAGCCACAGAAGCAGCTCCGGTTTCCTGTACGACTTCAGTGCCAGCAGGTGGATGATGCGTTCCTTCAAGGGCTTCTGAATGAGGGCGGCCATGTTGTCACTCCTCCGGATGCTAGTTGGCTGTTTATAGAAGTTACTTTCCGAAGCAGACGCAGAAGATGGCCTCTTCTGGTACTTGACACACTTACCTGAACACAAAGAGTTTGAAAATGACTTATAGATACAGGTCTGTCAAAGGTGACGTCAGACTGAACCATTAAAGAGCAAAGAGTTTATTACGATGTGTTGGGGAGGACTCTCAGCTACTACCACACCAAGTTGTAGCTCAATATCTAAACAACTGACTGGGCTTTAGACATTTTTGATTTTGCTAAAGCTGTAACAACCAACCTGATTCAAGCTGAATCCAAAGGTTAATCAGTTGTAGATGTTCATCCAGGAATTACGTTCTTAGATTTTCAGTTAGATGGAATAATTTTTATTACCCACATTTATCTTTTAATAATCATAATCTATGAATCACATGTGCACACAGGTCTGACACCATTTTCTTTCCTACATCAGATGTAAACATATGGTTATCACTTACCATAATTTTTACTGTACAATCACAGTTTTTTTGCATAAAATTAGCATGCCTGGGACTTATACAGTGAAGAGATGTATTTATGTTTTTTTTTCTCCATATTTATAAAACAATTTTTGACTGAGATCTGACAATTTTGTTCATTCTGACATGGAAAATATTGAACACTACCATTTTCAGCTGCTAGAGGGCCCTCGACTAATATGGCAAACCAAGTGTCTCATTAATAGGTAAAAGTGGCTATTAATGAAACACTTGGCTTGCCATACCAAGCCACCTTCATCTCGCTCGGGAACTCCTGGAGCAAACGTCAAATCAGCTGCATTTCACTGCGCCGCCCAGGCGAAAGGCAACAGATTTGACAATTAAAGTGCATTTATTACGGAAAAGTTCAACTGAGACACAACTTTACTATAATGTCGAGCAAACAAATTGTTTTTAGGCGGTTAACTTGTTAAATCTAGAAGAAATGCATAGCGAGTCGTCCCTCTGCGTGCTACCGCTTCCACGAGTTGGCTTTTGAAATACAGCTGATTTGACTGTCAAAGTGCATTTATTAAGGAAAAGTTAGACTGAAACACACCTTTGCTATAATTTTGATCAAACAAATAATTGTTTTTAAGTGTTAATCAAGTTAAATCCTTGTTAAAGTTCTCCCGTGCACGCTCCCTCGGCCACCATTTGGCAGCCAATCGATTTTTGGCACAACATCAACTCACATTTCCAGGTTGTCGGCTGTGACGTGTAACAAACACGACGCATCAGTGGCAATGCATAATAGATGTGACTATATGGCGAAGCGATGTAGTTATGTTTTTTTTCCACTTTATTAGACACATTTGGACTGATGCGACTTATATGGCGGTGTGACGTGTACGGCGGCAAGTACGGTACATCCCTTTTTCAAACAGATGGGGCATGCTCCAGCAGTGAAAGCTACCCCTCTGCCTAATCCTAACTTAACGTCAAAATAAAGTGGAAATTAGGGTTGAATGTTTATAAAAGAGACTGTACGTCATGCATTTCAAACCATCAATCGGGGGCGTACTCTGACTAGAAGAAGCTACACAAATGTTTTATGTTCTGGTTTTTAATATGTGTAGCAAAAAAATAAAACAAAGCTGCTTGTTTAAGAATCTGCTGCCTCCGAATACTTAGTTGGATGTCAGTAGGATTTTTAACCTTAATAATAAATAAAAGATTTAGTCCATGCTATGACAACGATAGAAGGCAGAGAACTTGCTCTGGTTTTACCTCTGCTGTGTTGTACGTGCCGGCGAGTGTGCGGTGAGATAACTGTTAAAGGAGAAGTTGAGCAGACTCTTATCAATGACGGTCATTTGTATTACTACAGTTGTAGGTATTTGTATGAGGGCTTTAAAATTATGGCTTTACTCATTTATTTGACCAAAAATACAGACTGATTTATGACAAAAGGAGAAAACGGAGTGGAAATAAAGCAGTCTGCAGAAGATGTTTGCTCATGCAGCAGCATTTTTGGTGCCTTAGTGTTAAATCCCCCCCCCAGTTTGGCTTGTCGGACTGGTAAAACAACTGTTACACAGCGTCCTGATCCCTAAAGCTAAAAATCATTAATTCATCAATAACAAATTGCCTTTTGAATTTAGAAAGTTGGACTTTTAGGACTTTTCAATTTGGAAATTGTACAGAGACGCCCCTTTTTACTGTGCTGTGTTTGATTTATCTTGATTGGTGGCTGCTAGGTGTGACATTCTCCTTTACGTGTCAGAAGGAAATATTTGTTTAGCAAAAATGTACTTTTAAAACATTTTTTAAAGTCAAGTCTATGCAGAAAAATCCTGGAAGTTTTAACACCGCCATAAAATGTGAGATCATTTGGTTAAATTTAAGCTTTATCAGTGACAAGTACCAAGCCGGTGCGTGGTATCATTACGTACATCCTGGATGCACTTTAGCAGTTAGACAGAAAGGTTTTCCTGCACCGGTCCCCCTATCTGACCTTCAAAGCTCAGATTAACCTGCAGTGGGATTAGCACAGAGAGGTAGCTTTCACTCAAACATGCCCCATATGTTTGCAGAACAGATACAAGCAATACTTATATGTTTACACCTGAGGAAAGATTAAAAAATATATATATTAAAATATTGTAAATGTGACCTCCACCTCATTATATATCAAGCTATTAAACGTTTAATAAATTGTGAGCGAGACGGACGCTTTATCGGGTTTAGAATGTGGTAAACTCTGCGTTTTGTAGAAGTGAGAGTGCAGTTTTAAGCCGTTCCTTTCCACATACGCTGTAGTTGCTTCGTCATCTTCACCTTAAGATCTTAAGTTACACAAGTTACACAACTGACACTGTCTGCATTTGATCCAGATCAGCCAGAGTTTCAGCCTCCCAGGAGCTCCAGCCCTGACACAGAAGTCCAGAACTGGGCCGTGACAACTTGTTGCACAACTCCAACAAAAGTTTGGAGAAGAGAACGTAGAGGCAGAGAAAGTAGATGTGTGTCTCATGTTCGCATCATTAACGTGCTGCAAACATGTTTAGGGTAGAAAAACGCACAAATATATCAGTGTCACTTTTTATTTAACAAGTTTGTTGTTGAATTTTACAAATAAAAAATAAGGTATTTTTGCTATTTGTTTATTTTATTTTATTTTTTAAAGAAATTATCTCATTTAGTCTCATGTATATGCCTGTTTTTCTTTTTGTCGTTATGTTTTTTGTGAATAATACCACAAGTCTAAGTAACAAACAATCTTTTTTATAAATCATTTGTAAAAACTTTTTTTAAACTAAAACCAAAAGCTAACAAAAATATTGGGACTTGTTTAACCAAAAGCCTGGCCTGCACATCTGGTTTTATTACTCATCTCAACATAAAACGTCTGGTTTTCAGCTTCAAGCAATGAACACCAATATTTTTATTCCTATTGCATTTATTGCCACTGTTATATTTCCATTTTTGCTTTTTTTATGACATCAATGTGTCTACAAACAGTCTCCTGTCCCTTTAAGAGTAAATTAATTTCCAGTGAAACCTCCCGGTGAGTTTTGATGCTCGTTATTTTTCCCCACACTGGGGCCTTTAATCTGCTCTTACTGGGATGTGTGGCTCCAGGTTTGATTTCAATGGCTGAGCGGCTCCAGCTGTCCTTCTCCACCTGAGACATCCTCTCACGAGTCATCTGGTAGGAGTCGTCAGTGGCGCACACGGTGATCTTGTCCTGGATGCTGCCTTGACCTTCCAGCTGCTCACGGCCGTCACTACAAAACAAATCAAGCGCACGGCCGTTAAAGTTCAGGCTTTCTGCTGACCTTACAGTAAACTCTGTAGAGATCTCGTCCCGTAGGCTAATGGTGTCCACGCAGCTTAACGGGGCTTTGTGCAGGAGTTCTTGACATATGTTATGTCATGGGCTAGATTTAGCCCTGCAGCCTGGTCCCAAACAGGACAGAGCTGGTGGAAAAGCACCATGATTACTTTGGCTCCGTCAGCATGCTTGCACAACGAGGATCATCTTGAATAAAGGCAAATTGCTTCAAACATGAACCTGGAGTGCATGAATGCTTTAAGGAGGATTTAGGGCACAGTCAAATCCCATTTTTATTACTGTATATGAAAAATACAATCCTTCTATCCTCATCTATTCAATGTTAATTACATGTGTGGCCACCTAACCGTTTTCCTTTTTATTCTTCAAATTTAAAAAGGCAGATGCAGACAGGGAGATCCTGCTCTCACGCTGCTGCCCTGCTTTTCTTGGCTTCAGCAAGAGACAAAAACTAAAAGCAGTAAACAGAAATGCAGCACGGCTCAGCTTCCCAAGCATATACTGTATGTTCCCACTTTAGCTTTCAGTAATGACAGGTTCAGACCAAAAAAACCAGAGGAAATTACAGCTGGTCCACAGTGTGTCCAGCAAGCTGAAAGATAGTAGTCTCTCATAATGTTCATGAGCATAAAGAAATTAAAAAGAGATAGTCCAGCCCATTTCAGTTCTGGAGTTTTATGTATCAGGACAATAAAAAAACAATTTGACCTTTTCCAAGTTCGAAAACGAATCAAACTTGAGCTCAAAGCAAACGGAGGGCATCATTCCTTAAACAAAAGGTTGTGTGAGAAAAATTAGGGCCATGTTGACACTGCGTGTCTTAATGCTCAATTACAATTTCTTGCTCAGATCAGATTTTTTTGTGTGTCTAATCGTTTACATCATAATTTAAATGTGGCCGATGCCAGACTCAAGTGTGAACAGTCTATGGAACTGAAATGACCTGCATGTGCAGAAGACGTGATGTCGCACAAAGCACGCTGTTTTTACAGACGTAAATATGGATGCTACACACGTTAGCATGAGTGTCAATTCTGAAGTTGTTGTCCAACCAGAACTCAAATGATCTGAAATGCTTGTTTTGTCCAATTTTTACATGTGATCTTTCCATTTCCCGCCTACTCTGATGCAGAATTGCACTTTTGGAATGGGAGCGACGTACTGAAAGTGACACAAACTCAAGTATCGATCCCATCACGTTAGCATCAATACAATCCGACACGAACATCAGTGTTAGTTTTCTGCTGTGCATCGTCAATCATCCAGGACATGGCAGATGAACAAAGACACAGCAACTGGACTTCTGTTCTGTAGCTGAAGAAATGCAGAGGTGTTCAACAATTAAAACTGCACGAGGATGGAAAAATTATTATTAAACCTTGGATCGATCCACATACCCCGACCTTAGTGATGTAAAAGTTGGATGAAATGCGACATGACCATTCAGACTGCAGCTCCTTTGAAAACATCAGGTGTGCATCTGATTTAGTACCACATAAGGAAAAGACCTGGTCAGAACTGAGAAAAAATAAAATAAAATAAAGATTTGTCATGCTCATAATGTCAATAAACAAAAAGATGAGCCAGAAATTATTATTTTTTTAATCTAAATCTGATTAAGTCAACTTTTGCCTGCAGTGTGAACGTAGCCCAAGTCCACTCCTTAATGAACAGCGTCACCTTTTGACAAAAACAAAAACAAACATATCAGCACAACCACCCCGTACAGCAAGGATAAAGCATGAAGGTGGAGGGATAATGATTTAGGCTTTTTTTTAAGCCACAGGACCTGAGCAACGTGCAGTTATTGAATCGATCATGAACTCCTCTGTAAGTCAAAGGATTCTACGGTCCAATATGAGACCATCTGTCTGACAGCTGAAGCTTGGGCCAAACTGGGTCGTACAACAAGACCGTGACCTCAACCCCGGCAGAAAATCTTCAACAGAATGACTGAAGAAGAAAAGAATCAAAGCGCTGCAATGGCACAAAGTCCAGACCTCAGCCTGGTTGAAAGGTTGTGAAGAACCTTCAGAGAGAGCTGTGCAGAAGCAAATGTCTGCAAACCTCAATGAACTGAAGAAACACTGTAATGAAGAGTTGACCAAAATTATTCCACAATATAAAAACTGATCAAGTCCAACATACAACACATACTTCAAGAACTTGCTGTTAAAGATGTCTCTACGACAGGGGTCTGCAACTTTTTTGATCGAATGAGCCATTTCTGCCATTTGGCTCATTAAATACAACGTGGCTGGAGTTGCAAAACCTGCTTATCAACTGCTGACCCGTGGGCCACTTGGAGGTCGATGGATGAGGGCTTTTTCTGACCAGTTGAGGTGACATTATAAAACTAAAAATATGTAATGAATATTTACATTTATTGATATTTTAACATTTTAGCGTAAAAGGACAGACCAAAAGTAGAGAAAAATTGTTTATACTGAGTCTCTGCAGGCTCATGTGAATATTTTTATCTGATTGAAAATTAAGTGAAGTAATAAAACAACAAAGTCCATGCTCAATAATCCAGGTAAAAAAATCCAACATTCTTCAGTCGTCATCAGGACAGTTTCTTTTTTTGTGCTGAAACGTTTCGCCTTCAATCTGGAAGGCTTCATCATTCAAGGAAACAACAAAACTGATTCTTCCCCCAACAGCTTCCTCCAAAGTGGAACAAACCAGTTCTGCTTGTGATAAGATGGTCTCTTTGGTACGCCCCTCCTCCATTGCCGGCCCTCTTCCTTGTTGACAGTCTTGTCAAACTGATTGAAGTTACGGAAAATTTATGCATTTTTCTGGACAAGTTATTGATTTTTATTTAATGTTTTAGTGAGAAAGATCCCGCTGTAAGCCTAGGGGTTGGATAAATGAAGTAGCTAAATGTAATCAACATAATTCTCTCCTTGTATTAGTGGTATCCTTAACAAATTTACAGAAAATTGACAGAAAACTGCATTTTCAACTGCAAAACTAGCATTTTTGGTTGTGGGTATAAAAATAATGAATAAAATTAAATATCACGTTAGATTTGGTCAACGCTTCAAAGGGTCACAGATGAGAGACTAAAGAGTTGCATGTGGCCCCAGAGCCACAGTTCTAGGAGCTCCTGGATCACATGGTGGATTTACTGGTAGTTTACCCCCCCCCCCCCCCCCCCCCACACACAAACACAGCTTTTCAATTTCGTCTTCATTTTTATTGTCAGATATAACGACACAGTAAAGTCTTTTATGTTTTTTGTTTTTTTTGTACACTTGAGGTTAGATTTGAATAATTTTAGAAAACCCTAAAATTCAAAGGAAGAGGGCCTTCTTTTTCTGACGACTATACAAAGACAAGGAAGAAAAGCTTCTGGGGTAAAAAGTGTTGCAAACATGAGTTCAGATGTCTTTCACCCAACCCACGGGAACATAAAGCCTTACTTTGAGACATACTGATGGACGCAGTCGAAGCTGGCTTGAGGCTGGTCTTTGCTGTCGCTTGATAAATAGAAGGTGAAGACCCGGAAAGCAGAAGGTGCCTCTGGTGTCGCAGCTGGAATCTTGATGCACTGTAGACCACATGAAAACAAGAGTTTTAAAGGTGGTATTCAAACAGAACACAAACGTGTGACAGGGAAATTTGTGTAGGCACACAAAATCATTTATTTACAGTAAATGCACCTAGTGTTTTCTTGTCCTTGTACACAGGCTCTGAACTGAATCATGTGGAGTAAAAAAATGTAATAATCAAAAAACAATAAACCAGTTTTACACGTCTGGTGCCTACAAATTGTTTAAACCTTCTTTAATGTCTCTCAAAGATTTTATGCATCTTAATTGCCTTTAAAATAGTGAACCGTCTTCACAAAAGCAGAGATTATCTACACAGCAGAAATTCTAACGATGCTGCCAAGTGCACTGTAGCCAAAACACATGGCTGCACAAGTCAAGGTTCCTGCAATCTATCAGCATGAATTAACACATATTTGTATAACCCAGCAGTCTGCACAGTCAAATGGAGTCTTAAATGGAGTCAATAATGCAAAAAAAGCTCATCGTTTCTCCCTCAGGCAACAGTTTGTTACATTCAACAAGAGTGACGCTATCAAAACTCCTCAAGGGGATTTTTTCCTTTCTTTTAGCAGCCACCTTCTTAAGTTTTCTGACATAAAACCTCACCGTTTTAATACCTCATCTTTGGCAGAATTGATCTAGCCGTTTGCCTCCAGTAAGATGGCAGATAACAAACTGTTCCCCAGGATCTGCTGAATCTAATAATAGGCCCAAGTCAGCACCAAGCTCATCCTGTGTGTTCAGAAATGACCACACGGGGCCTGAAGTGGGTCCAAATGCTGCTAAAGATGTCAACAGTCGGCCAAAAAAGCCCCCAAAGAAAACCCATGATGGGTGTGCTAAAAGTTCCTCAGTCAACAAGATTTTTTTTCTGACGGGGATTCTTTCCAGCCCACAAAATTAATCTGTTCTCAGCTTTTTCTTTTGCAACAAGTGCCGTGTTAAAAAACAAAGCAAATAAAAAATAAGAAAAATAAAACTGAACTGTTTTAAACCAGCTTAGGTAAAGACAAAAGGAAAAAGTGGAAATATATTTTTTGATTTTGTTTAAGACTACAAAGCCCCAGCTGAGGAACGGAAATAATCCACACACAATTTAAAAAAAAGTGCAAAAACTGATCAAACTAACAAAGCAGACATTACGCTGCACCAGTTTGTTTAAATTATATTTACATGTAAATCTATAGGATCAATAAAAACACCAGGAATGCTCTTAGTTGAGTTTTCAAACTTTCAATCTGTTTGCTACAACTCGTTTCCTTCTCTGACGAGTCCTCACTGAGATCGACGCAAGCAGTCACAATGTTTTATGTAAAACATCTGTATAAATTAATTCAATCAGAAAAAACTCAGTCTGAGGAAAAACCAGTAAAAGAAACCAGTGAATCATGTTACACAGTGATTGAATGTATACGGAAACCGTTTGGCACATGCATTAATCTCCCATCAGAGTTCTTGAGAGTAATCTGATTACAGCTACTGTTGGGAATATGCAGGAAATCAGGAAAACATCCCCGACGGAGACGAATGAGGCACCGAGAAATATACAATCAAATCATGTGCCATGTTGGAGAAGCTGTCACAACCCCACATGAAGCCAATCAGATATATTACACATTTAGGAAGTTTAAGATGATGATAAGTAAAAACAACTTTAATAAAAATCAGCAGAAAACTTACATTTTGATCATCTCCATCATTTAGGAGAGTCTTGAGTGGTCAGTTTTTTTTATATGCAATTCATAAAATAAAGAGATTATCGGTGCATAAACAGAATACAAACGAAAATGTTGATCTGCACCACAAATGTAAATAAATGAGACTCGGTGACAGACGGACTTTAATAAATTAGGAAATAGGAATAAAAAAGTTCAAATGTGCAGGACTTTTAATCCAGTCCTTGATGTTTCTATCTTCTATTTGCAGTCCTGCAAAACTTCTCAGTGTTTGCTAAAAACAACAACAGCCATCGGATCGGAGATTGCAACAAAGCGACGTGGACGCCGGCTCTTCTGTTCTTATCAGCTGGCTGCACATGTCTTCACAAGCAGGCCTTCACCACAGGAATCTATACAAACTACATTCAGCTGTGCTCTGGCACCACAGCAGCTTTTACACTGCTGGTCAGGTGGGTCACAGTTTCTTACATAACATGTTTCAAAGCATCCTGTCAGTGTGTGGTGTTTGACCCCTGCTAATACTGAGCGCCTCAAAGTTAACTCTGGAGTCTTGGTGTTTATCAAAGAGAGATATCCATCCATCTGTTATCTTCCGCTTGTTCTGAAGTCAGGTCGTGGGGGCAGCAGCTTGAGCAGGGAGGCCCAGACATCTCTCTCCACAGCCACCTCTTCCAGCTCTTCTGGGAGCGTTCAAAGGCCAACCGAGAGACAGTCTCTCCAGCATGTCCTGGGTCTTCCCCAGGGTCTCCTGCCAGTCAGACATGCCCAAGGCAACTCCCTAGGGAGGCGCCCAGGGAGCATCCTGACCAGATGGTCGAACCACCTTAACTGGCTCTTCTCGATGTGGAGGAGTAGCGGTTCTACTCTGAGTCTCTCCTGGATAACTGAACTTCTCACCCTATCTCTAAGGGAGAGTCCAGCTACCCTGCGGAGGAAACATTTCAACCACTTGCATCCGAGATCTCATTCTTTCGATTCCATCCAGAGTTCAACAAAAGATGAACAAAACCACAAGATACTTTAACTCCTCCACTCGAGGCAGAACCTCACCCTCAACTCGAAGAGCGCAATCTACTCGTTTCCAACTAAAGACCATGGGCTCAGATTTGAAGGTGCTGATCCTCGTCCTGGAGGCTTCACACTCGTCTGCAAACCGTTACAGTGAGAGCTGAAGATCATGGCACGATGACGCCAACAGGACCACATCGTCTGCAAAGAGCAGAGATGGAATCCTGAGGCCACCAAACCGGACTCCCTCCACTCCCTGGCTGCACCAGGAAATTCTGTCCATGAAAGTCATGAACAGAATCAGTGACAATGAGCAGCCCTAGTGGAACATATGGAATATAGTGAAAACTCTGCGCAAATTAAAAAAAAAAAATTAAATAAAAAAAAACACACACACAAGTGAACCGCGACATAGTGAGGAACGACTGTAAAATTATTAAAAAAGGATATCACTGGCCTAAATACTACTTCATGCACAGTGCCTTGGCTGTAGAATCTCAAGAATACAGTATATAGGACACATTATACGCCCATTGGCAAACCATTATACAGCAATCTGCAGCAGACAATCCAAGTCCTTGCATAATATTTGACCTTGATTTGTGACCTTGACCTTGAAGCAGAGGCGATTAAATGTGTATGTGACTATGTGATGATGCACGTGTATGAAAAAGGTTTGAAAGCTCATCATCCAGGTAGATAAAAAAATATATATATATCACAAAAAAAGGGTTGCATCATGTCATATGGACGGTTTCTTTTTGAGAGAAACGTTTCATCTTTCATCCGAAAGACTTCATCAGTCTGAGGCCTGCCACCAAGATCTGTCTTACAAATAGCACCTCCTTGATGTGTTTCGAAGCAGCCCTCTGTGAAATTCCCAGAAACTGGCTTTAACACATGCTAAAAAAGAGACCATGCATCCAAAACAATCAACCATCATGTACAACAATCAAAAGTTTTGGGCCAGATGACCAACTTGCTACTCACAGAAACATCCTGAGGACAAAGTTTTGGTAGACAGTGGACCAGAAGTTATGGGCGAGACAAGAGAAGGTTTATGGACAGAGATTATACCATGATGTGTCCTGCTTTTGATGGGCGTATTTAAGCTTTGCTACTAAAACAGACTTTTCCCACTGAAAAGTTATTAAACATTGAAAACAGAAGTTTGTAAAGACTTGTCCCTCTATTTTATAAACCGCACACAGCTTTGCCAACAAATATTCAGTTAAAAAAATAAAAATAAAATAAACTGATCGTTGCTTCGGTTATTCAACTTTGGACAAAATTTCTCTCTCGGTATCAGTATCTTTTAAACTGTTGTAAAATCACAGACTTCAACCAGATCATACGTTAGTCTTTTTTGAACCACAACCAGTCATATGTCAGGCTGCACAAGTGCTGAGGAATCCTACGGATTTAGCAGAACAACAAACAATGACACTGATGTTATTAAAGATTACAGGCAGATGTTGCAATTTGTGGAAAGGCTCTAAACCCTGGGTCTACCCCCTCATCTGTTTTGGAAACAGCTCAGCACAACACCTGCTGCACACACACCAGTGTTAGTGCAAAGCTATGGTGTCCTAAACATATTTCTCTTTCATTCCAACACCTGGCACGTACCGAGCTCCAGAGATGTGGTAAACCCAAAGTAAAATCTACCACAAACTTGCCACTTTGTTAATGAGCCAGTTCCTCCATGTCCCTCTACAGCAGCAACATTTAACAATTCATCTTCTGAGCTCACTGTGTTGTCAAGCAGGATTCCTGCTGCTACAGATGTCCTGCCATGCAGCCAACAAAGCAGCACTCGCTGGCATTTATCTTTTGACGGCCGCTTATACAACCTCCACTGGCACATTTCTGGCCTCCCTGCTGTGGAAACTACAAGAAGCACGCTCGTTCCCAGCCGCCAAGGCCCACACCAAAGCCTACTGCGCTCCCCCTCGAGAGGCACGCAGTGCAGCTTCAAGTCAGAGGGGAGCTCTGACACTTTCAAGCATTTAACCAACCATGAATAAAGAAACATTTAAGGAATTTCTTTCAAGTAAAAATATTCTGCCAATATGTGGGTTAATGCTAATCTTTGTGATCTTCAGTGAAGCAAAATGAATAGTTAGGATGGTAAAAACAAGCGGTGAAAGGTTTATTTGAAGAAAACGACTATTACAAATGCTTTGGTTGTTACTTTTTGTGGTTTTATAAAGGGTTTCTCATGCCCGAGAGCCAAAAAGCAAAAATTTAAAGGAGTGTTTCTACATTTTAACCTGTAAACCAGGCTAATGGAGCTTCTTTTTCTGGTT